ATTGACTGGATTGGTAATCACAACCATTAAGATTTTCTCAAATGTGACTGGTGCATTAGCTGCCTTCACTCATTATTCTGAAGCGTTTTAATCGGACAGTTGGCTGTGATTGGACACCTATAATCGGACAGTTGGCTGTGATTGGACACCTGTAATCGAACAGTTAAGAAGCCAATTATATTGATTCCACTTAGTTAAATCCACCCGTTACAGAATTTATCACAATAACCATATCAACAAACACATACCCCACAGTACTGGGAATTTCCAAAATGGGGAATTTTTTTTTAATTTAGATAATTAGTATTGTAAACCCACTCCAAATAAATGTTTTTTTTTTTTTTGGAAATTGTAATGGTTATGATTAAAAGGTAACAATACTTCGCGTCGTCCGATTCGGTTTACAATCACACTCATATGATTGCAGACCAAATTGGATTCCTGTCAGTCCTATTAAGAGTACGAATATAAAAGTTAGCATACAGTATCAGTATCAACAGAATGCACTATAATTCTTTTCAGCTGGTCGTAAAGAGTTGTTCTGTGGGAAATTGCAACTGTTGGTAATTATATCAAAATAACTTTATCTGTCAAAAAAATCCAAGTTTCATTTATCCATCTGTAGGCCCCATGATCCCCATATACCTGCATTGATATTTCTTATAGTATCACTGCGATTTCCTTTGGTTTTTTAGTTTACGCTCCCATCAATGTTAAATTCAGAAAGTAATGTGTCGCCGAACTGGAGATGGTCATAAACGTTGTGTGTACTCAAAACCCCCTTACGGAGAATAAGTAACCTCGTTTAGCGAGGTTTCACCATGCATATACTTATTCTTTTAATTGTGCTTAATTTGTTTTTAGGAGGCTCACCTTATCCACTCTTGACAAATAAAGAGCTCATGAGATTGATACAGACTGGTTACCGGATGGAGAAACCTGAACTGTGTTCAGATCATGTGTACGTAGCTTGCCGGCATTAAACTCAGTTTCGGACATTAATAAGATTAGTGAATATGAAAACAGAAGTATATCCCCTATTCACGAGCAAAGCTGGTACCATTTAATTTTTTCATTTCATTTGATTGTTTGCAACTATACAACCATTGTCATTTGGAGAATAACTTCGCTGATTAACTTTGTGTGTTTTTCCCATTACACCGACGAGTTCTCGCAATTCCAATACAAACAATGATAACAGCGTTTTTGACTATGAAGGCTAAATTTTTTAACCTCTGGGTAGCTTTTTTTATTTGTAAGAAAAGAGGTTCTTGTATATGGCACGAGTTTTATTGTCAAATATCATTTGTGCAAGATGCACAATACTGCATCAGAGGAGACTAAAAGTCGTCAGTTTGATTAAATGGCTTTCGTTTGTCGTTGACCCCTATAACAAGTAATCCTCATTTCTTTACTCTTTTCAGTTATTCTTTGATGTTGGACTGTTGGAAACAAGATTTAAATGAAAGGCCGAGTTTCCAGGAACTTGTTGGAAGGCTGGAAAGGCTGATGCATCAGGAAGTTGAATACTTTGATTTTGACAAAGTTGACGAGTCGAAAGACTATTATCTTGTGCAAGATGTCAAGACGAATGAAGATGACGTGGATGGAGTTGACGAGTTATAAAATAACAACAACATGAATAATGCCTTCAAAACAATTATTGGATTTATGTGTCCATTTTATAACTTAACTTAACAAAATGATATTGTAAGCAATCTTAAGTACTCGTATCTACAGCAGGTTTTGAAAAGAAAGAGGATGATAAACTTTTTATTTCGGTCTGAGAATGTCAGAAACTATTGTTCAAAAGGAACTAAAACAACCAATATATGCTTAGACGACAAGGTTTCCGAAAAGCCTTGATTGAGATATCAATAAGTTAGTATAAGTACACAATCCCCTGGTTTTCCTGACAAGGCCTTCGTAACGGGACACTATACTGAAACTTAAATACATTAATTAGAAATTTAGCATTCAAAATGCGACACAAATTGATTAATAAAAAATGACTTAAACAGTTCAGCTAGCTTGAGTTATCATGAGGTTTCAATTTCCTTGACCATAAAGCCTCAACATTTTCAAACAAAATTGATCGCAAGACAGCTAATTGGACATACTTGACTAAATACCTGAGTAGTTTCATTTCGATTTCGAGTCAAATAAACGAAAGTTTCAAAGGAAACTCGGCCTGCTTTGCTTCCCCGACCACTTTTGCTCAAACGCCCATTCTGGTGATATATAGAATAAACGTTCCTATAAGAATTTTGAGGTTATTGCTTTGTAAAATACCCATGTATCCAAATACACTTAAATCTCAGGCCTTCCGCGTTAAGGGAAAGTTCCCTAGGCCCCCTCTTTGAAAAAAAAAATGAATTATATGCGGGGACAATTAAGCAGACGATGAATACTTATCCATCTAGTATATCATTAGATAGATATATAGTTTTATTAAAATTACCCTTGCAACCCGAGGGCTGAATTACGATAATCTTTATGTAAAACGTAAATTAATTATGAACTATAAATTATATAATGATAAGTTAAGAAAGTTAACAATAATAAAGCTTATCATTATGTAACACTAAATTAATTAAGATACAACTACAATTATTCGAAATCAGATCAATTAATATATATGAGTTGTACAAGGACGTGCTATCGGCAATGGCTTACAATAAAAAAAAAAACGCGGGACTCGGAACTTGCGATTTCTTCGTGTTCGCAAGGTGCCAAGGTAAGGTGGCGGAAGTAGTGAATAAAGCTTGTGATTGTTGTTATTACTTATCTCTTGAAACATTGACTTACCAATCACCTCTCTCCTATCATGCAAGGTAGGTATGTTAAAAACTTCTAAAGCCTGTCTATAGGATAAATCATTAGTGCTTACTGGTGTTCTAACTGATCGGAGATACTGCGGTAGAGCGGTATGAAAGACTGGACATGCATACTCTGCAACTGGGCGTATGCAAGTGGTGTAGAAACTTAGAAGGTCATTAGCTGGGACTTTCGCACGCTTTAATTGCCTAAGAAAGTAGTGACGCGCTGCGACTTTCTTACATATTATTTCTACGTGCACATTCCGCAAACAAACAAAGGCCACAGTTGGAATACCGTGTTTCGATAAATGACCAACACCTCTCTAAATACTCTAAAAAAGCAGAGTCATTAGCACTTGGTGGGTGATAGAACGCTCCAAGAAGAATAGAGCTGTATCCCCTTGGGAGACGAGTAGGACTAATTTGAATCCATAACTGTCCTGTATAATCACAATTAGTATGAAAAGAGCTAACGCCTTAAATGTTACACTTTAAGATCCAAATTATGAATTATTCCTGTTAAAAGTTTAGCAATGACAATACTTGTGAGAATGTTGGGCTTTTTCTAAAGTGCTGAAACGTACCTCTTTGCTTTTCTTGGCTCGTAATTACAAATGCTGTCTCTCAAACAAAACGGGTCATCAAATTCCAATCGTGTACCTCTCCCTATTTAGATTGATTCCGTATTTCAAAGAGCTTTCGTTCGCCCAACGTAACATTTCCATATGTCCACTGTCAAGCCGGCTGTGCATAACAACATAAGGGTTTCTCTCGTCACCCATTCGAATGACATGACCAGCCCAGCGGAGCTGTGATTGCTTTAGGAACCTCTCAGTCCCTCGTATTTTACACTTGTCGAAAAAGGACCACATTTGATATCCAGCCCTCATTAGTGTTACCGTAAATTTTCCGAGACAACCTGTTGTGAAAGAAATCTAATTGGTTGATATGAGATCTATGTGGAGTCTACGATTCAGAGCCATACAAGAGTGTAATTAAAACGACTACGTTACAAAACACCCTTGTTTTCATACCAAGCTTCATGGTCGTCATGCTAATTAATGCTGATTTGTAAAGGATAAATGTAATTAATCTTGTAGAATTTTCTAGACTCTTGCTCTCGATAAGCTTTCAGAAAAGCTGTGTATACGAAAGCGATCATGAGCTCATATTTATTTTTGAACTGAATAAGACTAAAGCAAGCCCATCTATATAAATTTTGATCTTACCTTTTCGAGAAAGCAGAGCTGTCAATAGTACGAGATCAAGATAGAACTCCGCATCAATTGGGTTTTAGGCATCTGTTTCTTTCATCGGAACTTTTCAGTATAACGAGCTACGTATTTACATATTTCTGTAGAAGTCGTGGCCCTATTTTGCTTATTTCTTTTCTCTTTTAATTAAATGTTTACCTAAGAGTAAATTTCAAATTCCGATTGAACTATATACATGTACCTTGACAACAGCTTTGAAACATCTGCTTTTCGATATGGGTGTAGACAATGTGACGCCATTTCTTCTTTCACCCTCTATGGATCATCTGTGGCTGTAACATCACTCATCTTCGTCGTGGATGTATTTTAAAGAAAATTTGCCACATATGCATAGGCATCAATGTATCATTTCTATGCGTTTTCTTGGGCACAAATTAAGACTTAAATTTTGTTAGGCTTGCATGACTTTTTCAACTTTACCGCAAACACGTGATTAATCTTTCGCCATTTGAAAAAGCGTAGCACTTATTTAACTTGAAAACTGGTTCTAATTTTTAACATTAAGCACACTGGTTAGAAAACTGGTAACACAAGCAACTATTATTTTGAAAGTGGAAATGAAGATCTAAACAATAAAAATGGAAAAAAAAAATCATGGGGATCAATGCCGTTTTACAATTTATTATCGGTTTCGACAAGCAAGAAAGATGAGATGAGAAGACGAGGTTGTTGAAAAATGCAAAATACGATATTCCCTTGCTTAAAACACAGAATAGGTAATGCAGGTAATGGACATTTAATTAATATCAAAAGGTGAACAAAACTTTTTTTGTTGACGATTGTACTATAGATCCTCCAATCGAGAAATATTTCATACTCGGTAATTGACAGAGTATAAAATATCACCTGCTTATTTTAATTGAACTTGTGTTCCTGTGTTTTTCAATAATTGAACGTAAGGTGCTGAATGATATATCTCAGTTTAGGCGAGGGCAAAATCGACGCCCTCAAACGCATAGAAGTATCGTGGGAATCTCGCAGTCTGTGATCTATTCCTAACAATATCGGATAGACCTGGTTCAACTGAACATCACGGTGAGAAATTTGACTATATATGTAGAGTTTGTGCATTACGGTCACCAAAACGGGAACCTGCCAAACCGAACTGAAATCCATTTCTTGGGATAAGGGTGAATGAAAAAAAAAAAAAAAAAACCAAAAATACCATCCGTCAACAATGAATTGAATTTATTCACGTTACTGAATAGGGGACTGAAAGCAAGGGGAAAGACTTTTGTTTCCAATTATCTCTTTGTTTACTTTAAGCTACCAAACTCAAGCTTTATTCGGCAAAAGGGCAACTTGATTTTCCGGTCGTTTTTTCGATAAAGAGAGCCGTAATTGAAAGGAAAAGTTCTTATTGTCTGAGGAAACAGTGTACCCACGAGTACCTAAACTAAATATAAGCATATGCAGAGAGTGTAAACACCTTACCGTTTCCTAAGAATTTGACCCTGACAGCTTTCAAACAGCGCCGATATTGTGAATATGACAGCGATCTTCGCAGTAATGAACACTAATTGAGCAGTAGTGAAAATGAGGCCTAAGAAAGAAAGAAAAAAAAAAAAAAAAAAGAGGCCTGCAATAGAACGAATTTTTTTTTTATCTTTTTTTCTCAGGCCTTATTGTTACTACTGCTCAAGTAGTTTTCATTACTGCAAAGATCGCTTTCTTATTCATCTCCTATCCGCAGTTCACATATATTATCTTCATAAATTTGCAGTCAGCGCCGATATTGTCAGGTTTACATTTATAAATTACGACTTTACTTTCGTAGAATAAAACATACAATGATGTTATTCCATCATAAATCTATCGTTCCTCCAGGAATAAAACTGATTTAAAACCCTGGTAGAATGATAAAAAGGCATATTGAAAAATTCTATATCGCAGCAATTTAGATGTAATTAATAATTAATCACGTAATACCTGTTTTGTTCTCATTAAGAGGCAGAATTATGGAAACGTAAGAAACGTTTCTCTGGTTAAAAATTGTTTATCGTCCAAGAAAACTCAGAAAAAAATGACAAATTCAGCCCACTAAACTGGAAATTTAAGAAAACTACAAGGGCATATTTGACAACGAAAAAAGACTGATCTTCCTGAGCAACCACGACATGCAACCCTTTTTCTAAAGGAAATAAAGGGAATGAAGTGCTGATATTCAAGTTCCTTTCTTAATGAAAATTTTATTCCTTTCTTCAGTTTTGCAGGATGAAATACTCGAGATTGAAGGCTTTTGAATCTCTTCAGAGATGTGTGTTTTCTTTCTTTCTTTCAGATCCTATTCGAATTTATCGCTTCAAGTAAAGGTGACAACGATGGAACTTTGTCAAATCCCCCTCGCTTTTTATTTTCTTTTTCTTTGTGTAGCTCAACAAGCTGTAGTAGCGGGTATGTAAAGACATTTGTGTATGAGGGTGTATGGTCGGACCTACCTGTACCTTTATCACAGTTTATTTGGTATTTGATGATCACTTACGAAAAGCAAAATTTCTGTGGATAATCAAACGCAGGAATCACAGTACTAATGATTTCCTTGTGTTTCTCCTTAGGCTGAGAAAGATCACGAGGGAAACTTCCCTCCCAAAACGTTATATCAACCTAATTACTTTGCTTGAGCTCGCTGAAAATGCTCTATATTCGTTTTTTTTTTCTCTATGTTTTCCCTTTAGGAACACCCCCTCCCCCCGCCTTCTTTTTAAGAAACATCAGAATTTCAGGTATTGCGAATTATTTACCAGAAAATCTGATTGAAACAAAAAATTGTGATGAACGCCCAAGTTTTGTTTTTGGTTTTCATTTTCAGCGCAAAGACAAAATATATGTACAGTTTCCAGTTTAGACGCAGTGTATTTTGTTTTGCGTCTTTCCTTCTGGGTCAGGAAAAACCACGAAAACTTTGAGCGTACTTTATGATTACATGTAATGCATATGTTTCATTTTCAGTCGTTTAATTTATCTTTTCAAAAATTTTTACAGTTGATAGCCAGTGCGAGAGCGGGCCTGACATAGCATTCATTTTGGATGCAAGTGGAAGTGTAGGACCTTACTATAAGGACATCCAAAGATTTGTCGAGGCAGTTACTCGGAAAATCCTTATGAAATGCACCAAGCTTGATGCTGCCATAGTTTTATTCGGTGAAAGGGCCACTGTGGAAAAACACTTTTCCCAGAAATTCAGTTTATCTGAGTTTCGTTCTAGATTATATGGTGCTGCGCCTCTACCTTTCTCAAGAACAATGACACACGAAGGTTTAAGAGTGACGTCAGAAGAGGTGTTTCCATTTTCTCGAAAGAACGCTTCGAAGATTGCAATTTTAATTACTGATGGGATGCAAACGCCACCTTACAGTCCATTTGAGGCCGCGCGGAAACTAAAGGAGCAAGGAGTTCGCCTTTTTGCTGTCGGCATAGGTTCTTCTTTAAAGCGCTATATGGCACGATTCGCCGAGAGAGGAGAAGACGTGATTGTTATGGTAGACTTTTATCAACTTGTCAAAGTTCCGTCTGAAAACAACTTGGTCAGGAAGGTTATCGCGGCTGTTGGTATGACTATTCAACTATTACTAATGTTCATCACACATAACAAGAAGCGTTAAATTTAAAGGAAAACTAAAAAGAACTAAGAGAGCTAAAAACAGTCGTTGAGACGTCCAGCTCAATAAACTAAAATCGTGCTTGGTATTCACATGCAACCAGCACAAAATGCCTGTTAGATTTAAATACGCACACATCACCGATATTCAAAATGCTTGACTGCATCCTTGGGGAATATGCGTCAGGTTCTTATTCCGTGAAAAAGTGGCTATGACAGTTCAGAAGCTTTGTCGAAAGTTCATTGATTGGTCTGGTTTAGTGTGGATGGAAAGTCTAAATTGTTGAGATAAGGCTCCGTTTTCAATTTTTCCCTCCATATTGAAACTTATAGACAGTAAATTCAAGTTTATTGCAGAAACTCCGTTTCAAGCAGAGAATTACAATGTAACGTGTATGAAGCAACACAGTATGAAGCGGTCACACTGTTTTAGGCGGTCGGTTTTCAACGTCGCGGGATTTTTGCCTCTTAGTCATTGTAACTTCACTTCTTTTAAGCCGTTGTGTTCCACATTTACAGGGTCCTCACCCTTAATGAACGGTCACTTAAAGCTGGACCACTTATATAAAACTAAGAATAATAATTCAAGTACAATTTAATCCATACTTATCATCCGAAATCAATGATGGTAGTATTTTTGAGGGAGTTTTTGTGTCACAATGGCCAATTATGGCACAGCGTTTCTCCAAAATACTCCCATTTTGTGGAACCTGTATTAAGCGGTCAACACGCCATTCTCCGTGGGTGACTGCTTAATACGAGTGTTACTGTATATATATTGATTTGGACCGCGGAGGGCCCAATTACTGAAAGGTCGTTGTGCTGATAGATTTCTCTTGGCAAAGCGTTGGAAAGGATCTGGGTCTCCAATGGGCAATGCTCGCAAGAAAAAGTAGTCTCGTCATCAACAACGACAATAGTTGTTGCCTTGAGGACAAATTTGATAGCAAATTTTGTTTGTCTACTAAACAGATAATCCATCAATACGTATGGCCGAGGATTCTGTGCAGCTTTTTGCTGGAAGAAAGGCCGTCATATTCTGCAACGTGACTGGTTGGCCTCTTCCAACAGTAAAGTGGCTCATGAACGGAATGGAACTTAAAGATGGTGATCTCAACATTTCAGTATCCCTCAAAGAAGGAAAAAATGCTGAAAGCATCAATTCATCATTGCAATTTTCTGAAGTCGATATACGTCATGCTGGGTTCTTCAGCTGTGAAGCCAAGAACAAGTACCTCACAAAGAAGCGCAATATTCAAGTATCGGTCACCTGTGAGGGAACTTTGGTCGTCATTTTTTTGTCTCGTCACTCACTTATCTGATAGACAAATAAATGAATCAGTAATCAAGTTATCTCAAATGAAAATTGGCAAAGTAACAGACGGCTGTCAGTTTTCCAAATTCCCCCACTATGACTTTTTGCAATTTGAAGTTACCAATTTTGGGCAACTTACCTTTCTCGTTTCCGATTTTTTTTACTAGCATTTAGCGATTACTGTCATCATCGTTATCACTGTAATCATTGCCCTTAGCTTTACTACTTTCTAATGTTGCTGGCACCCAGGTTCGAGATCGCAAAAAAGGGGCAATATTTCAATTCTAGAGAGAGAGCTGTTCATCATGTTTTGATAAACGTGTCTTTTTTTCTCTCGTGCAGGTCCACCAACCGTTCCTGAGCTCACTGTTAGAGATCGTCAAGTTAAATCAGGCTTGTCAAATGCTACATTAAGATGTCATGCAAACGGCCTTGATTATAACAAGTTGCTTTTCTACCGCTGGCAGTGGAGATTTCAGGGCCATACAATACGAAAAAATGATAAGTACAGCATGTCTGATGACATTCGTCCCCCCAACTTTTGCCACCATTCGAAAGGCTCTACAATCCTTCGTATTACAAACACTTCTAAAGAAAATTTGGGTCAATACGTTTGTGAATTGCTAATGGCTAATATCTCGGTCGCAATAAAGGACATTTTATTAGGTAAGAAATACATTTCTATGCTATCATTGTCTCAGCATTAAACGGTATGGCGCTGACCAACAATCCTCTAAAACTCCTCTCGATGTTTTAAAGGTTCATTTCGAAAATCCATATTCAACTCAAAATTTCAGTTTTTAATTAATATTCCAAATTTTCATTTCCCTCCATATCTCGTACATGACTCAAAAGCTTCTGAAACAGAATCTAAACTTCAACTCAAGTAATGTCTGGAAAGGTTCTCCTGTAGGAAAAAATAAACATAACTGAAATGCATTCTCTGTTCATCCTTTCTCTCCTTTTTCTTCCATTAGTCCCTCCATCATCCATTCATTAATCCATTCATTGATTTCTTAATCCGTTCATCCGTTCATCTGTTCATTCAACGCCCATTGTTTAAGACAATCAGCCAAGCAACCTCCTTTGAAAAATTTATTTTCCAGTGGATTTCACCACGCCATCACCTCCAAAAATTCTGAAATGGGAATCAACCGATTGTGGAAGTGCCATAAGAGTGGGGTGGAGCGCACCACCAACAGAGCCTAAAGCCAATGTGATCTTTGGCTATGAATTTACATTGAGATCCACAAATGAAAGATCGAGGTGGAACGCTAATGTCCCAAGGGAAATAGTCTCACACAAATTTGTCGGACTTCAAATGAACACAGACTATGAATTCAATATCCGAGCTAAATATTCCAATAGCTCATCATCAGTTAGTCCTTGGACAAAAGTATTGTTGAAAACTACCTCAGGTAAGCGAGGGAATTACATATAATTGGTTAACTTGGAATCAAAAATATAATGGATCCAACCGATCCGTCTTACGTAAAACAAGAGAACGCAAATATCTTGCGATACTTGGTACCGTTCATAACGTTATTCACGCTGCCCTCTTTTGCTCAATTTAGTATAAAAGAACTAACATGAAAAAAAGCTGATGCACTTGCGGATTGTAATATCATCAGTGCTGCAAAGATTGAAAGATATCCAAGAAGATCAGTATTTTCAAAAAGATTAAACTGCAGCGTTTTTTCAGACCATTGGATGTTGAGCTGCTGTAATTTGAAAGTAAAAAATGGATGCTTCTAACATGGTGCTAATTCACAAAGTAACCTCTTGTGATAACACCTTTTGGAGCTATAATTAGGCATTTGCTTGATTCCAATTACAGGGAAACGAAAGGTAAATGGGGTATAGTTTAAGCTTCATACGATTGGTGTTGAGAAGTAAAAAAAATAGTTTGATAGGATTCCTTTATTTCCTTCATTCCGACCTGAACAAAGGAATTTGTATTTTTACTTCCATGTCATGAAGTATTAATTAAAGTTGAAATATTGATTAAAATTCCTTGAAGTATCATTACTGGACTATTGAAATGATTATTAGATATAGTTAATGTCGTTTTTGCATTGCAGATATTCCAGGTGTATTTGATATAAAGGCAGTTCCCTATGGATGCAGTGCTAAACTCTCGTGGAATGCTCCCTCTCCCAACGGCTGCCCGATATCACGGTATACGATTCACTACAGAGACGAGACGAGCGGGTGGAATACGATCAATTTGAAATGGTCAAACGTAAACGATTATCGTCTCTGGTTAAATTGCAGCAAAAATTACCACATAATGGTCTTTGCTTGGAATCAACGGGGACATAGCCACTACACCGAGAAGTCTGTGCTGTCCTTACGAACGGAAAATGGTAATGGGTCTGTGAGTTTTCGATCTATATAACTATAGTTGCTGCTTAACACAAGCAATATACCTCACGAGAGCTTATCCAAGTCCCCAACACAGTATGCAACCTAGAGTATTTCTACCGTTTCTCCGGTTACTCCCAACATTTCAAGTACGGTAGTTCTCTGGTACCCTTGTACGCCCTATACACACTCCTTAGTGAAGAGGAGCAAGGGTAAAATGTCTTTCCTGAGGACGAGGTACGGCCTTGAATGTGAACCACGCGATCTGGGGTCATACGAAGAAGTCAGGGAAAACTAACCATTTTAGTTTAAAGTATTAATTAATGATTTTATTTCCCCATTCAGAATAGGAAAATGTAGATCTACTGAAAGTATTTTCTTGATTGCGTTTACAGGGGTGCCTTTCATACCATCGATTACAAAAATTGAACGGAAGCAATGTGGTATAATGGAGGTTTCTTGGGAGGCATCGTCGTCTGAATCCGGTGGAGGTTCAGTGACGGAGTTCCAGGTCCAGATGGAACAAAGTGGTGATTGGCGCAACTGCAGTCGGTTCCTTCCAAATAATACATGTTCCTTCCATGGTTTACTCATTGACAAGAGTGGCCCTCTCATGAATGTTCGCGTTAGAGCTTTCAACCGGAAGGGTTTCAGTGATTGGACGAACACTTCAATCCCATTAAACCACGCAGGTAAGTGATATAATGGATGAAAGGATGCATGAATGCTTGATGGGATGGATGGACAGATTAATGGATAAATGTGCGTAGAAGGGTAGATGGCTAGCTAGATGAATGAATGGAGGTATGGATGAATGGATTGATGGATTAGTGGAGGGATGGATGGATGGATGGATGGATGGATGGATAGATGGATGGATGGATAGATGGATGGATGGATAGATGGATGGTCGGAAGGATGAATGAATGAATACATTTATGGACGGGTGGAGCGGTGGTGAATGGACGGATACATACATGTATGACTGAAGGGAAAGATAGATGGATGGATTGACGGATGGGTGTATTGATGGATGGATGGATCGATGGATGGATAGATCGATGGATGGATGGATGGATTGATGGATTGGTAAGTTGATGGATTGGTGGATTGATGGATGGATTGATGGATGGATGGATGGATTGATGGATGGATGGACTGATGGATGGATTGTTGGATTGATGGATTGATGGATGGATGGATTGATGGATGGATGGATGTATAAATGGATGAGTGGAGGGAAAGATGGATGGATGGATGAATGAATAGAAAAATATATATATAGGAAAGATTGATGGATTAGTGGATAAATGGCGAATGGAGGGATGGATGGCTGGATGGATGTGTGCATAGATCTATGGATGCTTATGACGTCATTCGGATTGTGATACCCATCTGGCTATCACATTTAGATGTCCATTTCTTTCGTTGCCCAAATCTACACAACGTTTTTCTGTCTCTATTTTAGGTCCACCTGATCCTCCAGAGATTAAATCCAATGTTTCGTCGGTCTCGGACAGAAATGTAACTGTAACTTGGAGACGCCCCAAACAGTACAATTGCAATATTACTATGTACTCCATTCACTTCAGAGTAATAGAACCACTTATGGAAAGCTGGAGTGAAATAAACATCTCGGGAGTTACAAGTTATCAACTGCAGCTTCAATACAGCAAACAGTACGAATTCATTATTGCCGCTTGGAACAAGCTGGGACGAAGTGAAAACAGCATAGCCTGGAAAGTGAGAACAGCTCAAGGTAAGTCAGTTATATAATTCTGTTAACTATCATTGATAGTTTTCGCTCCCTTAGTTTTTTTTAAGACTAAATCTTAATCATACATTTTATTACCAGGAATCATTCTTGTGAAAATCAGGTTGATATGAATCTTTTCTTGATTATACCAAAAAATCTTCAAATTTAAATTTGGGGTGCAGTTGGTATCCACTTTACTGAAGTCGAGGTTGAACTTTTGTCGGATGTCCTGCTTGTATGTTCAACAGTCGTTGTAAGAATGTTTAACTCGGGTAAAGATGGAAATTAAAGATTTTAAGTGAACAACCAATTTCTTTTGTCAGATGTTCCATACAAACCGACCTTACATCCTCTAATTTCGGGACAGTGTAACTCCATCAACGTAACGTGGAATCCACCAATACCTGGGGCATTAGGAGACCCTGTGATCGGCTACGTAGCACAGATAGCAGTGGCTGATTCCAAAGAAGAATGGATTAACTGCAGTTTACGTGGAACATTGAGATCAAGAACATGTCTGTTTACACATCTTGAAAAATTTACCATGTATCGTGTAAGAGTGTTTGCAAAAAATAAACTTGGATACAGTTTGCCATCCATCGCCAAGGAAATATTCACTAAACAAGCAGGTACAATTTCTTTAGCGGGTGAAAGTTTTATGCAGGTTTTAGTTTTTTTCAATACCATCCAGCAGAACTGTAGAGCAATGATTACTTAGTTCCATAGTATTCTATGTTATTCCTTGAAGGCAAGAAAGCGGGCAGGCTATCCAAACCTCTTTTCTTTCGCCCATCGCAAGGTCTTGCAATGTAGAGTTGATTTTCGTTATGATAATTTATGATACATCTTAATTAAGTCCATCTTAACTCAAAAAAGGCAACGCAATAGTCGTGTCAAGGACAGTAACGTTATGGCTTTAGACCAAACTTTATGGTTTTATACTCTTTATTTACTTTACCAAATTTGTAGACCGTCCTGGTTCACCTGAAATAGTCGAACGGAAAGTTTCAGGATGTAATGTTACACTAGAGTGGACCTCACCAAAATCCACTGGATGCCCGATACTCTTTTACACAATCAGCTACAGGAAAAAAGGACTTGATGATGACAATACTTGGACATATGTTAATGTAACAGATGAGGGAGCCAAGCAAACGGAACTTATACTGAATTGCTCCACGACGTATGAATTTCAGGCTAGGGCCTGGAATGAGCTAGGAGGTGGAGACCTGTCTTCTTTGCAGTCGGCAACAACAAACGACTTAACAACCTCTCAGCAGGAAGCTAGAGAATCCCATTTAACAGGTAGAGACAATTTCATATATTTGACATTAATCAACCCTGTAAACACATGGCCTGCTTTCGTCTAAAGAGGGTTTGTTACAAATGAGATTTTACAATAAGAGCAAGGGTATTGAAAGTGGAAATTACAATCTTTTACATCGGCAGTTTTTAAAGTCTTTTTTGCAATTGCTTTGCTGAATAACTCTTACTCTCGTCCACGAGCAGATAAGAATTCTCCACCAACTGAGGAATCTTGCCTTAACCAGCACAGTTGAGATCAGCTCCACAAAAAGTTTCAAACGTTTAAGTAGGACAACGTTTTCGCTCAGAGAACAACAAAATAAAAAAGGTTTATTAACTGCCGAGTGACACGCACTTCAAGGTCTGTTCTTAAAGCGGTAAAAAAGTAAAGCGTTTAAAAATTTTACGCAGGCAGCAAACATAATGATGTCCTTTTTCCTGTAGATTCTCCGCCGTTAGAACTGGTTAACCTAATCGCACTGATCGTTGCCGGCGTTGTTGTTTTGGTCGCCCTTCTTCTGATCATAAGAGTGTGGTACTACTACAAAAAGCGCGCATCAAAACAGGTCAAAAGGTATTTATGGCCGCTTATATTGACATCAATTAAAATTAATTTTATCCCCACTAACCTAATACTCCTTTCATTTTTACCACCAATATCATTATTTCTCCACCAAGGGGTATGATCTCGGAGGCAGTCCAAGCGAAGAATATGAGTCTGTTAGGCGATTTCTTTATTACCATAACTGTCACTATTATCGTTATTATCATCAGTTTGCTTGCTTAGTGAAACCAGCTTTTCCTGACAGTTGATGTGGAAGTAAATTTGTTTCTGGGTTAGGATTATGGTGCAACCAAACTGAACTAACTGAATTGATTTTGATTAAGGACGGTCGACGATATTCATGTCTTAGAGCAGTGCGAAATCCATCCATTAAGAACAGAATTTATCGAAGCCCTAGGCGAGGGAGCATTTGGGAAGGTTCATAAGGCAACACTCAAGGATGGATTGGATTACTTAAAAAACGGTGATGATTTAATTGGTAAGGCCAAGCGAAAAAAGATTGTGGCAATAAAGGAACTGCATGGTAAGTATGACGATGATCCCCTTCGATATCATTATCAGCATTTCATCGCCTTGGTCATTCATCGTTAAATTCCAATAAAAAAATACCTCTACATTATGTAGTTGATGAACTTAGTCCATTGATGTAGTCTAAATTGTTTTCTGTTTGTGGTGCTAATCTTCGAAAGCTTTCCCTTTCGGATATTTATGTACATGTGCTCGCTATAGCTTGAGTCCAGCGGAAATTTTTTCGGCTAAAACATTTCTACAGAACGGCTCGTAGCCAGAAGCAAAGGTGTACTCTTATCAATTTTCTCGTAATTCCTTTTTATTTATTTATTCAAAAAAGAAAATGCCGGTGAAGAGCAGAGAAGACAATTTCTGGATGAAATAGACCTGATGAGGCAAGTCGGTCAACATCGGAATATTTTGAGTTTCCTCGGGTGTTGGACCACGACCGAACCTTTTCTCCTGGTTATTGAGTATGTAGCTCATGGAGACTTGCTTCAGTGGCTTAGAAGCAAGCGAACTCAGGTAATTTCTCTTAAGGAAGTAGGTTTCTAAGGAAACTGTGGTGCTGCGTCGGAGGGAGGGTATAACCAGGTAATTGGTATTATCAACTGAGTTGATAACGTAAATTGGCCACCTTAAAGAGTGTTAGCACTTCGTCTTTCGCTCTGAAGAAGGGCTAACGCTCGAAATGTCGGCTTTGACTCTTTACGGTGGCCAATTTTCGTTATCAGCTCGGTTGATAATACCAAATTACCTTGTTAATTTTTGTTAACCCGACTGTTGCTAACACGTAACGAATGTGATATGATTGATACAGTTCCAATACTCTGGTAAAGAGAGAATTATTTTCTGTGTTTAAAGCACCCATGATACAGTTGTCCCAAGTGTTTGAAGATACGAAAAAGCGTTCACAGAATCTAGATTACTTACTTCAAACATTGTTCAGACCTGAATACCGACTTAGCTTGTCAGCACGACAAGAGACAGATATCTCAGCGGATATGTAATGAGATAGGTTAAGGGGGTTCGTATATTAATTCTAAGTTGTTCCTTATTGATACCATTTCTAATGCCAGCTGATGCTTAAAAAATGTTGTATGCTTAGATTAACAGCTCGGCTGACAGCAAACCAAAGGAGAACGATCTGTACGCAGGATCTAGGACTGCTCTCTTTGGACCAACCGTTGATCAGGTAAAAAAGTGTTAGACCTATTTACTTCGCAACAGGCAATTCTTGTTTCTTCTTTATTCGATCTTCGTACGAGTTTTGTAGCAGCTACTCCCCATGCTAATTTTACTTTCGAGTATTGTTTCATACTTATCTACGTTGGTTAACATAAGGCATACTGAGGTAACAGTTATCCGGATGAAGCGTAAAAAGATTTGCTTTGTGAAATGCAGACTAACGAAGAGTGTGATGGGAGGGGAGAAATACCTGAGGACGTACCTGGTCTTGGTGATGTCTCAGGCCAACCTGGCATAGATGAATGCAAAATACCACTGGTTGTTTTCTCAACTTCAGAAGAGGGAACCGATGGAACTTCAGGGAAGACAAATGACGAGTGCAGTGTTGATTGCGAGTCGTTCATTCCAGCCGATCTTTTGTCATTTGCTTGGCAGATAGCCGGAGGCATGGTAAGTGAAACTGGTCTGCAATAAAAATTTTGACAAAATTGTGAAATATTTTGGCAGCAAAGAAAAATTGTTTTGTAAAAATCCAAATTTTTCGAGGATTTCAGTCAGAAAAACTAGAAATCTGCGGACTAAATGGTGATGGAGGACTGCTCTCAATTGTCTAAGTTGTTAATTTTTTCATGACGCAGAAGCACACAGAGACTCAGACCTGAGTGTTGTTACTCCCCAGTCTATTTCTGGTAACTTCTCTATATTTAATCATAACGAAGTACTGTTGGAGCTATGCGATCCGTTTTATTGGCAGATCGTTAGTAGCGCGTTTATTGCGATTAGTTCATGTGCACATGTGTATGTGCGCCGCTTATATATAGCACGGTAATATATGAATTCGGGGTTTTTCATCTTGTAAGCGTTCCCTCTATGTTTGAGTGATGAAATTAAGTTTTTAACCTTAAAACTTTCATTACAAAAATGCCACGAGAACTTGTGTTCACTGGACGAGTAAATATTTATCAAATCCCGGCTATTGAAAATGTCACAAATCAAACCCTTTCAGAAGAAGAATACCTCCCTTCCTCCATACACCACGACCCAGTCGTGTGATGAGTGGATAACGCTGTCCAAAGAATAAGTTGCTATCCAACGGATAAGTGATAGGAAAACGTACTTCACCATCCATCAGAGATAGATTTGTCCAGTGGATAGCTGTATATATCTTCATCAAACCCTCCAACAACCGAGGCTTGATAGCTAATGGTGATGGTTTCTTTTATCGAATCAAAAATGTGTTAATTTTTCAGAGTTACCTCTCTGGGAAAGGCCTCGTTCATAGAGATCTTGCGGCACGAAATGTTCTTGTCGGGCACGGTAAAAGGCTTAAGATTGCGGACTTCGGTTTGATGCGAGAAGTGTATCATGAGGTGTATGAGGTGCAGAAGCAGAAGAAACTGCCAGTGAAATGGATGGCACCTGAGTCACTTTACGAACAGATATTTACTTCAAAAAGCGATGTGTTAGTAACTTTTACTTGATTCATAACAGTTACAGCATCCAATCATAAATTCTATTGACGGTAAATCATTCCTTTATAAGCAATATTCACGTATCTCTCTCTTTTATCTCTTTCACGCAAGCTACTTGAATTTATCTCAAAGGGACAAAGGAATGTATATTTGACCTAATTCCGATATTACAATCTTCACTATGTCTGCCTCAAAGACCAATTATTGCCAACGGTTATCAATAAGTGTCACATGTACCTAAAGGCTCCGGTAAATAGCTGGTGCGAACGAAAGATATTTACATAAATAAATTTTTGACAAGAAAAAGAGTAAGAACCAAAGGGTCTCAGTTAAAATTATTTAAAAAGCACATGAGTAAAAAGGTGTGGTTAAGTCTGCACTCGAGCCAAGTAACCCATCCAACTGGAGCTTATTTTAGTTTCTCTGGCATGAAGTATAAAGAGGTATCGGACCCTCCCCCCTGGGATGGGATGCTTGGTCCATCGCAGGCTACCCCCAGGCATTTCGTCAGCTTGCCCTGACAGTTCATCTGTAGCTAAGTATACTCTGTCTAAGAAAACAACACAATGCCCTAGGAAATCTTTACCCGGAGTCCAGCGCGGCTCTACAAGAATCCAAATGCAGTATTGTCATTTTGGAATGACTTTTATTTCTTTTCAGGTGGTCGTATGGAGTGGTTTTGTGGGAAATTGCAACTGTTGGTAATAAAATTAAAATAGCTAATACTTTCACACAATACATGCTCAATTTTTCCTTCATTCCGCCGCCCCTTTAGTGTTAGATCTAACTCTGTAACTGAGCTGGAGATGATTATATAAATTGATAAGCACCAAGGATCCTAAAGGGCAACGTTAACTCAAGTAGTCCTCCGTGGAGTCCTCCTTGTTCTTCCTAATTGTACTTATTTATTTATTTATTTATTTACTTGTTTAGGGGGCTCACCTTATCCACTCCTGACTAATGCAGAGCTCATGAGATTGTTAAAGACTGGCCACCGGATGGAGAAACCTGAATTGTGCTCAGATCATGTGTACGTAGCTTATATGAAACTTAGTTTCGAATATCAATAAGACTAATGGAAATGAAAAGGGAAGTATATCTCTATTCTTGGGCAAAGCTGATATCATTTTATTCTTCTTCAGTTTACAAAATATGTTTAATTGGAAAATGATTTCGTTCATTAACCCGTACTGTGTTCCCCAGCTCACCGACGAGTTCTCTCCATCTCAGTGGAAAGAATAATAGCTTATTTGACTGAGAAATCTGATTTTTTTTTGTAAACTTTTAACCTTTTTTCGAGTTCTTCGTTTCACTTCTTACGCTTCCTCTTCATAACTCTTGTGATAAGCGCAAGTGTAAAACGTTTATATTTAGTAGAAAATACTCGGGCTCGTTTTGGTTTCGAAATTACTTTTATTACATGGCTGTCGTTTGTCGTAAACCTCTATGATAAGTAATCCCCATTTATCTACTCTTTTCAGTTATTCTTTGATGCTGGACTGTTGGAAAGAAGATCTAAATGAACGGCCAAGTTTCCAGGAGCTGGTTGGAAGATTGGAAGAGCTGATGCATCAGGAAGTTGAATACTTTGACTTTGACAAAGTTGACGAGTCGAAGGACTATTATCTGGTGCAAGAGGTCAAGACAAATGAGGATGACCTGGATGGGGTTGACGTGTTATAAAATTATCAATGACGACATAACAACAGCAGAAGAAGTACCTTAAAAATTATTAAAAAATCTAGCTCAATGAATTAATATTTTAAGCTTCAAGTAATCTTAAGCGCTCTCCCCCATTGAACGATTTTAAAGACAAGAACGACAATGAACTTTTTCTCTCAGTCTGAAAATGCAAGCTATTAATGTTAAAAAAGACAGAGATTATATGCTAAATTGTCAGAGTTATGATAAGTACTTGATTCCTTGGTTGACTTGATATGGCCTTCCTAATGAGGACACTATACTGAAATTTAAATCTATCAATTAAAAAGTAAACAAAATGTACCACAAATTGATGAACAAAAAAGTACCGACGTATGCAGCAGCGGTACATCCAGCCATCAGAGCGTATATTTTGCTTTGATTATAAAGCTTCAACCTTTTTCAACACAACTGATCGCAAGAGAGCCAATTGGACACCGTACCTGAAAAGTTTCATTTGCTTTAATGGTTTCGCGTTAAACGAAAGCCTGTAAGGAAATTCAGCCTGCTTTGCTTTCGAATTCAGGGTCCTTTTTGCTTGAAGGCCCATAATGACCATTCCAGGAGACAGTCAACAGACAGTTGACAAGGCAGAGTTGCTTGTTAACACTTACCGGTCTATCGACATTTCTCCTCTTTCAACACACTTTGCCTGCGTGGATAATTCGCAGACACTGGATACTTAATCACGTTTAGGAGTGAGAAGGCTCTCCCAAAGCACATTGAGATATTTGAAGAAAACGATCCAGTCTTTGAAGACATACCAATCGGTAAAGGCTCTGTTAAACTGCTTCTTTAATCAAAGTTAGCCCTGAGGTGAAGAGCTAGCGCCTTAACTGCTTAATTAAGATATATTTTGTCCTCTAAAAAATTTGGTAATGACTGTATACATGTGAAAAGCTGAATTGTGCAATGCTTGAGTTTCATCGTACCTTTAGATCGTAACTGGACAGGCTATCTCTATCAAACATGTCGGGTACCTCTCCCTTCTAGACTGTTACCTGTTCCCTCATTTCAGAGCTCACACGGTTTCTGCTAAGTTTAAAAACACCACCAACGAATGCTGCAACTTGTTATCTTCTCTGAGCGACCACTCAAGACCCACTCCTTCTCTTCCAACACCCTCGAAGGACACTGCGAGCCTGGTCATGCAGCAGATCGCGTCATAGACCTCCGGGATGTCTTGCACGTTTCGTGTTGCGTTACTTTGATAGCTCCCGCGATCGAACAAGTCAGCGGGGAGGCAGATACATGTTGCTTAGTATTGTCGCTTATGTCATGTTGGTAAAATGGTAACCGTATTTCACAATTTGAGTATGAGAACAACTTTCCATTGACAACCAAGCAAGTGCAACACGTCGGTAAATCGACATCGTTAATATACGTTCTTCCTCTTTGACTTCAAGCGAATGCATGGACAGTAGATGGTAGGTTTCAATGTTGCAAATAACTTCCTCACTCAGCAATCGAATGTAGCCTAGTGTTTTGTGTTTGACTGTGAGATCGCAATGCGAAACATCTGTTGATCATGAAGGCTTCATTATTGTTATTTAAATTACCCTTCAACCTGAAATATAAATTTTATAGAGGTGTGGGTCTATAATGGTGTTCCAGAATACTTTTGTTGGTGATCTTCATGAACTTGGTCATATCAATTTTTTCCGCATTTAGACTAATTCTCATGTGATCATGACCCTGTTGGGGTTAGAAAGATCTTAACTTAAATACTTTAATTACCCTCCAGCCTGAAATATAATTTTTATAAAGGTGTGGGTCTAGAATGGGGTTCCAAACTGCTTTTGCTTGTGATCTTCATGTATTTGGTCATTTCTGTTTTCTTCCGCAATTTGACTAATCCTCATTTGAGCATGACCCTGTTAGAATTAGAGAGATCTGAACTTAGACTTGGAGCATATTTTATATGCATTTCCCGATAAAAATGGCAAGGTTAAGGATATATTATCTCTCTTATCTTGCTCAATAATTATACATCGGTAGCCTGCAGAGTAGGCGTAATTTTGGCGAGCGAGTGCTCAGTATTTTCCTAACGGAAATTATGGCCGCCATCTTTGATTTTAGTGGCAGCGGAAGGCTGGGGAGAGAAAGAAATTTGTATTGAGGGGGCGGTTGACGGTCAAAAATAAGGAGAGGGGTGAGGGTGGGGATGCTGTCCACTCTACCTCCAAATCAAACATGGCTCGCCCTAACAAGATGCCTGCACAGCAAGCTAATAGATCGGAAGCTAAGAATACTGATTGTCCTTTTGCCCTGGAACCAAAATTTGTGATGAAAAAAAGCATTTGTGTCATTTGGAAATGGGAGAATTTAAAAGAAATACTGTTAATCCTTAACTTCCAGAAGTGATTGAAGGGTAACTTCTTCCCATAATATCCATACACTGTATAGCAAACAGGTAATGAGAATACTTAAACTTATCACATAGAAGTTTTTTTTCTTGATCTAACACCAAATTCTCCAAACTAGTTTAGAAAGAAATGTATAGCAGCAAGAGGGGAGATAGATTAAAATAGATCTTGGGAGTTAAAGGGTTAAATGCTCTCAGTCACCCTGCAGTAGTCTGGGCATCTGTTGAAATGTAAAGAATAATATAATGGTATAGCTTCAATTACTTACCAAACTGGTACCAGTAGTTTGAAGGTTGGATAATGCTATTGACTGGATAAGACTCTATCCAGTGGATAACGCCATACGTTTTGCTATCACTTATCCACTGGATAGCAATTTATCTGTCAAATAGCATGATCTGCCCTTTATCCACCTGGGCCCTGGTGTACACAGGTAGTATTTTCCCTTCTGCCCCTTAACCTCTTCTCTCATGACTGTATTAAAAAATATACTTTGGCTCCTGTGATTTAAGATAGGGCATTGTTTTTGCACCAAATGGGGGCTATTGCATTTATCATCCTTCAAATATTTTGCACTTTGCTGGAAAATGTTCTCTTTCAGTTCTTTTTCGCATTGACTTTAGGAACAAAAAAAACATGTCTCTTCTATATCAACCACAATACACTCTCATCTTGAATGAAATTCTAACAAAGACTCATTGTAGTGGACATAAGGTGGGGTATATCCTGGGATATTCCCCAGCTTTAGCAAAGGAATAGTTGGGAACATGATGTGTTTAGATCATGTGTGCAAGCAAAAATATTTGATAGATTTTAATTGTGATTATTTACATTGTATTATAATTATTTCTGCCATTCAGTTTTTGAGTTTCACAAAGGATAGGTGGAAGGAGGGTTACTCTTGGTAGGATTGGTTAATACAGCATAATTAAATCCTTTACACCCTAACATCATTATGTATATTCTCCATACTGTTCTCTAAATATCTCCTAAGGTGCTGACATTAGGAGAATCTGTTTAACAATCAACTTGAGCTTATTTAGTTGGTGATCATTTTTTTTACTCTCATGACCTTAATCCTTTAACTCCCAGATCAAATTTGTAATTCTTCTTACTGTCAACTATACAGTTCTTCTGATGTTAGTTCAGAGAATTTAGTATTGGATCAACTAACTATCCCCAAATTGATATTTGCCTTCATTCTCATCACTTATATGGTTGATATTGTATTAATATTGTAGAAAAAAAATTCTGTCTTGGTCACTCATGGGATTGAAAGGGTTAATGTGTGACTTAGGGGTGAAACAGCAAGGAGAAATTAGTTGTTTATCACTCCAAGGGTGTAAAGGGTTAAAGCACACTTTGTAGTATCATATAATAATTGAAATCATAGCTTTTTTAGTTTTCTAATAGGGCAAATGAAAGGAGGGTGACTCTTGGCAGGGCTGGAGGTGTGTGGGGGGGGGGGACGGTGGGGGAAGGTTAATGCAGCATTTACTGCCATCTCATTATGTCTGAACAAATATAAAAGTTCTGAAAATTTGCTGGCTTGGTTTATTGCTTTCAGAGAAACGATGAAAAAGGCCAAAAAATCCCTTAGAAAAGCCTTTCATCAATCGAGTAGTAACAACAGAGAAGGGAAACAACCAGGCAATGATGTCCCAAAAGGTGATGTTAGGGAAGACAGTGCTGAAAACAAGGTTAGTTTGTTTAGTCTTGAACAGTAAACAGGTAACTTTAATGAACCATTTACTCATCATTTGGTTTGTGCTAAATCAGGATTGAATGAGATACTTACTGGTTCTGATTTATTGTCTACCAAGGTGCTGTGGTTTAGATGATTTTGAATAATTTTCAGGGGGTAAGGGGTGTGGAGGTTATTAGTCTTTAGTGTAAATGTGATGGGACAGATTAAATTAACTAAAGTGTGTGTTAATCTGAAAATTATTGTTAATTTAGGTGTATAGCAAACTACTCATTTTACACGATCACAGCTTTGGCTCAGCACCATTGGGTGTTCTGATTAAAATGACAGTAAAGCTTTGGATCAAAGTCAGTTTCTTAGCAACTGTGCACCTACATGTACCCCTCCCCTCCCCTCACTCACTAATAACCCTAACTTGTTATCAGACTGAGTTGACTGATGTTGGATTAGGGGAGGGGTAGGTACACAGGTACTCAAATACTGACATTGATCCAAAGTGTTCCATGTGTATAAGCTTTCAAAAAGCGAAACTTCGTTTGGTGACTAATTACAAGTGTATTTATTTTATTTATTCATATAACTCAGAACAGATGTGAGTAATATTGGCATGGAGATCGAATTTTTCATTCACTATAAGCTTCAAAACTTCAATTAAAATTTAGTGGAAAAGCTATATGTGCATACTAGGTAAATTTCTTATTTCTTTGATATACTAGTAGTCACAAGCAGGTTTGTATTTATTTATTTTCGCTTGATGATCATTAAATGTTTTTTTTTGTCTATATTTTCCAATCAAGTTTCAAGTTCTTCTTTCATAGGCTGAGGCTGAAGAACTGACTGACTTGGACAAGTTGTATATTGCCTTGGCTGAAGTTGGTCGTAGAAACCTCTTTGATCTACTTTGCTACAGTTTCAATATTACGAGCTTAGACGACTTACAGAAATACACTGCAGAAGACAGCACATCTGCTTACATCTGTGACGAAATAAAATCTTTCCTTGAGGGCAAAGATTTCAATTTCAAGGAACTTGTACAGGTAACGTAAAAGAAAATGTTTTAGCTTTTCTTTAGTTATAAAATATGACATGAAAATTGCACGTACATTGAGTTTTGATATCTGACCATTACATCGTGTGCTAATTTTTGTACACAGTGCTTGCAAGTTATTTCACCTCTAGAAACCCTTTTAAGCCCAGCTGCGCTACGTCGGTTTGGACATATTTTAACTGTATCCTTGCTGTAAACTTTGGCTTTCGCTTGCGAGCCTTAGCCAGACAGCACAATATTTGAGAGGGTCAGCGGTGTATTTAACATAGAAGGGGTGAGGATTTGACTCTTTTTGGATGTCAGATTCGGGGCACGCGCAATTTGGCTTTTTCACCATATAACGTCACGTTGATTTGCAGGTAATTTTGGTGTTAACAACTGAGTTGAAAACGTAAATTGGCCACCGTAAAGAGTTTCGAGGCTGACGTTTCGAGCGTTAGCTAGAGCGATTGGAGAAATTGTGGGTTGTGTGTGGGTTTACATGCAGAAAATGGAGCTTACGCTTGTGGTGGGAATATGGTGACGAGAAAACAAGAATAAGTTAGGCGAATTAAAAGCGCTCGTTGATACCGTGGGGATTAAGAGAGTCGATTTGGAAGATAAATTTTTGTTCTGGTGTTTTGCGGCTTTCCGAACTGCCTATATGTAGGAAAAGCCGCAAACTTTCTTTCTACGTCGGGAAGGTGTTCTTGGAATCGGTCACCTAGTCGTTTTCCTGTTTCACCAATGTAGAACTTTTTACAATAAGTGCAAGTAATGCAGTAAATAACATTGGCAGAGGTGCACGTAAAGTGATCAGTGATCTTAATGGGTCTCGTGGGTCCCGAAATTTTCTCTACGTTATGAATGAAAGAACAAGTTTTGCATCGTGAGCGAGCGCATTCGAAAGTTCCAAGGTGGTCATTGGTTTGAAATGAACTTCTGACCAAAAAGTGGCCTATGTTTTTGTCACGTTTGAATGAAATCAGTGGAGGTTGCGGACAGATAGTACCAGTCTCTGAAACGTTTTGGAGTAGTTTAAAGTTTAAAGAAGGATAGAATTAACTGCGTGGTTGTGAGGGTGAAATGTGAGAGTGAATGGAATGCGGTCGGTGTTTTCCTTCTCGGCCGTTTGTAGTGCTGACTGTCGATCAATTTGTTGGGCAAGGTGGCGGCCCGCTTGAACTACAGAAACAGGATAGCCACTCATTTCAAACTGAAATTTCTAGTTTAGTCGTTTTTGTTTTATATTATTATGAGAAGTTGACTCCTTTTGATAGCACGGAAGCCTTTTGAGCTCCCCTAATGAACTAAACTTCTTTTTTGTTTATTTTATTTTATTTTTTATATTTATCTATTTCAACATAAAAGGGTTGTCTCTATCGTTCTTGAACATATTTAAATCGCGACCGCCGGTGTATGAAAATAGGCCGATGCATTATTTAATGCGGGCGATAGCTCAAGGGTCTTGAAATTTTGACTCGCCTCGTTAGGGGTGTTTTCATGACTCACCCATCCTAACAGATCTTTTAGCCAAGAGTATCTTTTGACATGAGGTTGTGAGTAAATTCTGATTCTATTGCAGAAATACAAACGAAGCAAACTTGTGCAGACGTGTGAGATTAAGCACATACCAGTAATCCCAAAGAAAGACCTAGTTGTTACTTGCACATTGAGGGAGGGTCCATTTGTGGGACAAGTGTGCGAGGCGCAACTCACTTTGCCGGATGGGAGGAAGGTACATATTGCTGTCAATGAATTTGCTGTTCATATGTGTGTGTCTGTTTGTTTGCTTGTTCGTTGTTGTTGTAGTTGTTGTTTTGTAATCCCTTAAGCGCTTTTTCATTCGTTTACACGTTAAATCGACGTCACATGTACCGTACGTGCGCTTGCGGGTAATTGTATGGGAGAGGTATTTCACCTGGCTGTCCGTTTTTCCGCAAAGCGCCCTCTGGGGATTAGACTGTATTACCAGTTTTCGACGACATTGATGGAAAGGCAAACTCGATATAAATAACAGTGTTTGGGAGTCCACGGAGAGTAAAGGAATGATAAATAAACTACCCTTGGTTAAACTAACCCATTGACTTCTTTCCTGCTCACTGACTCAAGAGGCGTTTTTTTTTTCCATAACAAACACTAAACGTGTTATATGGTTAAGGTTTAATTAAGCATTTTGACCTGAAAATTCTGGAGAAAATTATGAGCGCAATGGGACAGACTCCAACTTGTCCCAGGTTCTCAGTTGCTGAAGACGAGCTAAAAAAGTGAGGTCGCGAATTGTGGTGTTCGTGAATCAAGAGGTAGTGTAAAGAACAAAGCAGAACGAACGACTTAAGGTGATTCCTCAGTATTGCACGGCGCATCCTGTGATGCGCATAATAATCACGTAATCAGGCTAATAAGTGCGCGCACATTCCGAGAACATGTTATTGTTTTTCAATCAATGAGCGAGGTAAAAAAGGACGATGGTCTTAAGCTCTTGAACGAGTACGGTGACCTACATTTTTTATTGCATAATTTTGGTATAAAAATTTATTATCCCCTTTAAATTGGGGATGTTAAAAAAATTGTTCGAAGGGAAAAAAAGAAAAAAGATAAAAGCGTGAATGAGGTCCGTTACTGACCTTGAAAGGGGCGACTCGGGGAACCTTTTGAGTCGATTTCGTTTAAATTTGCATGATTTTCTCGCAAATTATATATCAAATTGTTCCATACGCTCGAAACTCTCTAACTATCAAGTTTATTTTCAAGTGTTACTTTAAAAAACCTTGCTTCCAGCTGCGGCAAAATGTACCGTGAAGCGTTGAAATGACGCGCGTGATTAGGGCCAGTGCGGGCATAAATGGGGTAAGTTTGGCCCATTATATCTTCTTTTTACTGTATGTTTCGAAACAGACTAAGGTAAGGTAAGGAACATTTAAGGAAAGGATAAAAAATTCTTCGATAACTTTTTTTTTCTGAGGAATCACCTTACGCTGTTTACTTGACGTACAAGGTAAGGTTGGCAGTAGGCAGCCTTATCCCGGCACAGGTTAGGCAGCGGGTCCATTACAGTTTTTGACATAATTCTTTGGCTGATTTCATTCTGTATTTAAATTTTTTGCATATTATTTTACATCGGAGTCGTTCATGCACGTTTTTGTTTGCCTGTTTGTCTTTTTGTGTTTGTTTATATGTTTGCTTTTTTCAATAGGAAAAAGTTTGTCTTCGTTATCAAACGGTACAAGATGAAGACCAAATGGACTTCTTAAGAGAAGCAGAAATAGCATTTCAACTTCGTCATGAGAATATTCTAGCTTACTACGGCGTAGTCATTGCTAGTTCATATTCACCACACCCAGCTTTGGTAAGTTATTCACATTTATTCTATATATTGCCAAAAGATCTGGATAGCATCAGATATGTAACGAATTTTTAGACAATAAACGACGCTTCTTTAAGACACGTTTCGACAGTTCTTCTGTCATCTTCAGTTTTGAGTTACACAAAGTACAAAGTTGAATTTAAAGTGTGTAGCACAATGCTGATTGGACAAAAACAAAACAATAGTAACAGAACAATGTATGCAATTTAGAAGGAAAGTTTTAAATCAACATGATAAAGTTGATGATTAAGTGTGGGTTGCTCCCATTGAATGTGAATAGCTTCTTTGATTTTAAGTTGGAAAGTTGTGGGAGCGTGATCTAAAATGCTAAAACACTCATCAGAACATAGAGTGCGACATTGTGGAGAATTATGGAGATGTCTAAAAATGTGAGAGGTCCTATCACTGATCAAGTGCTCACGCGCGCGTGTGGATAAATAGCGTGAGGTTTCGCCGACATTCATCATCAATTAGTTCAAAACAGGGCATGCCAAGTTATTTTTTGTTGTTGTTTCTTTTCGTTTTCATTTGCTTTATTTCCTCTAGCTTTAGGTGGGTGCTTTGAAGTTTTGTAGACGTTTAGCGATGAGCGGCGATGCCGTCAGTCTATTTACGGCCCGTTACGTGGGCTATTGCCTTAATATTAACTTTTATATTATCTTTTTTTTACCTTTTACTTTTGTAACGTTACAGGTGGTCGAGTTTGCAGAATATGGAAACCTATCAGAATCATGGCCTCATCATAACATTGAACACCTGTGGAGATATACCATCCAGGCAGCAACTGCTTTGGAATACTTGGAGAAAAGAAATGTCATTCACCAAGCTGTTTTTGGTTATAATTTCTTGGTTGTAGCTGGTTTTGGGGTAGTTATCATTATTATCGTCATTATTATCGTCATCATTATCGTCATTATCATTGATACTGCCAATTTAGCACTGCCATCGTCATTGTGTAGGAAATGGGATCAATTAGCAGTACAATCAAGGAAAAGACCATCTTGCTCGTGTTCAAAGCTTGCATGAGCGAGTCATTGTTCAGTGATTTGGTAGGACACTAAAACATTTATTTCCAAGTGAATCGTCGTGGATTTACTTAAAGTAAGGGGGAGATTCGCGACTTGTCATTGGAAAAGGTGATAGTAGTACTATCACATAATCAGAAGGAATAACCCAGTTGAATGTAAGTTTAAACTACTCCATGTTTTATTTCATCCAAGCTGAAGCTTGCAGGCCTGGCGGCTTGTTGGTTTAAAGAAGTAAACCTGAAAAAGTAAGTACACATCGTATCAGAGTAGATTTATCATAAAATTCGAAATTGTGAAAGCTCAAGCGATGAAAATGTAGTTAACTTTAGCCTTTGCCGAAGAATTATGGCTGAAAAGAGAGGAGAATAAAGATTATCAGGCGTTATAATTTTTGTTGAATGCGGGAAGGTCATCAACGAAGTTGTCGTAAAGTGTTTGCACTGAACAAGATGATTTGGTTCTGTTAACTGAGTTGAGCTGACGTTTCGGGCGTTAGCCCCTCTTCAGAGCGAATGACGAAGGGGCTAACGCTCGAAACGTCAGCTTAGAAACTCTTAACGATTACCAATTTACACCATGAACTCAGTTGATAAAACCAAATTATCTTGTACTCTCCCGACGACGCAATACCACAGTTTCTAAAGAAACTTGCCCCCTATATCCGTTTGCACTTCGCAACTTACAATGAGTTGACACGCTGGCGAGATCTACTACCCATTGCTGTGCAATGTCCAGAAACGAGTATTAATATCAGGGCTCGCCAGACATAATTCGATCCTGATCATCGACTTGGACCCTCTCTTTATTTCCACCTAATCCTACTTCTGCTGTATTCGGAAAACCTCATGTGTCTGCACAGGTTTATAACTGTAGGCTCAGAGCCCCCCTGGATAACCCAAAAAATAAGATAGGTCTCAACACTTAGTTTAGATTTGTTCAATCTTTACAGACAGATGAACATTGCAGATCCTGAAACACTAAACAGTGTAGCTTTCATGTTCGGGAGGTTATTCTCTGAGATATTCTCCACTTTCTCGCAAAGGTATAAAGGACACAAAAAACTTGCGGTGAGTTAAATTTTGATATTTAACAGAGGTTAGATAAGTGGCTAACCACAGTAGTGATTGGGTATTATTTGTATATGACGTAGATAGGATATGATTTTATGTATAGCCGTCGTTTTGTAGTTACATATGGGTTTATACAACTCGGTGAAAAAGAAAGAAAACTTGCTACGTTGAGGTTATTAATCAGAGAAAACTGAATGAATCACAAGTCAATTAGAAGGCATTCTATAGATTATATATAAAACCGCATAACTTGAAATGTTAAAACTTTTTTACCAAGAAGTTGAAATTTATTAATTATGTTATGGTAGTTAACGCCCACCAGAATTGACCAGGAAATTACAACCAATAATAATCAAGTAATTGAAAAGCACCAAGGGCCGGTTGTTAAATAAAGTTTAGCCGTTTTTAACAGAACCACTTTCGTGAACGGTGTCATTAATTCCGAAAATTAGCCGTATATTTAAGTACTACTGCAGTTACACCAGCTTTGCGATCTGCTCGTTTTTTAATTCAACTTCCTCGAATGAACAGAGGCGATCTTTAGTAAAAGTTGGACTTTATATGAAGCGCCGTTAGTGATGTCTTGTTTCCCTTTCTTATCTTCACGTTTTTTCCTTCAAACGGATCCATTCTACTTTCTAGGCACTTTCAAAGTGGAGTGACGTAAAGTTTGGTGACCTTTGCCCTTCTCATTTTTGTGACGTCTTTCAGCGTTGTTTACGAAACATGCCACCCTCTTTCTCAGAAATCAGGCAATCTCTTGTAACACAGGTTAGTGCGGTATGATAAATTGACAATTTTACAGCACGTCATGCAAATTTGTTTCTTGAACAATGATGATTTGCTAAGTATTGAGTGAATTTGGAAAAATTTAATTTCGTGTGGATCATCAGAATGCAGGTTGCTTTGCAAAGGAAGAAAACGAAAAATGCCATGATCCTTGGAGAGTAATAAGGTGAAATAAGAACAGTATGCCAACGTTTTGCACCTCGCGTAAGAAGCTTTGGGAAAGGCAAGCAAAAGGCTCCGCGTGCGGTGTCATTCTGTCTTGCCATCTTGATCATCAGAAAAATCACGAATACCGAAAGACCCGCATCGTTACCTTAAATCTTTATTTAAGTTTCGCCCACTTCGAAATTGAATTGTTTTGTGTTCCAACTTTGACTGTTACACTAGTTGTTAATAATTGCAATTGTGATAGTAATAACTATTATAAATAACGATTCTTATATAGGTTGTTATTACAATTTCATTTGGACATTACAGGAGCACCCTTTGAAATTGAAGGTTATTCGCAAATTCGAAGGGTCAAAAGATGGTTTTCTCAGCTGTAATCCTGGAGAAATCATAACTCTGGTTTCCAAGAAACGACACAAGTACGTACACTGTGGTGATGTTTCCAACTCAGGTCTCTGTTCAGCGAAAGAAATACAATTGCAGAAAGTGCCTCTTTGTAATTTTGAGATTTACAAGCTTCTTCTATTTTAAATTTGAAAGGTTTGAAGTGGCAGTGAAATGAGACATATTAGTTGGGATTTGTCCCTTGCAGGTATGACGAAACTGCTTGGTTTGGTGTCACACAAAGTGCTCAAATAGGATTTTTCTCGCTAGAGTATGTAGAAGAAGTAATGAATGATAATGTTGATGGTAAGTACTATTCTGTTACGACCCCGGCTTTGACACAGGTTTCGGAAAGAAAACGTCTGAAGTCTCTTCCTTTGTAGGTTCTGTTATACCTCCAGAGATTCAGGCGCGAGGTCCTAGAGCTGAGCTTGCCTTTCAAAAGGCATTGCGGAATGGCAGAGTGCAAGTTTTTCGTGGTCGGATCATGATACTTGGCCAGGACCGAGCAGGGAAAACAAGTCTTAAGAAATCTCTGCTCGGTATGCCTTTTAATCCCGAGGAAGAGAGCACTGTTGGAGTCGAAGTTGACCCATCCAAGTGCGAAGTCGATGTGGATCAAGTAACGAATTGGCAGCGCACAGAGCATACGAAACTGGGTGTTTCTCAATTTGTTGAAGACATAGCAAGGATAGTTGCTAAAGACCTAAAGGAAACAGATGAAGAACCAAAGAAGAGAAATGATGTCGCTTCGCTTTTGGAGCAGGTTAAATTAATTCTTTGGATGTCACTCATGTCGATTTCGTTTATGGAAGCTGTATTATTCCGTTCTTCCTTCCCCTTGTTCAAACTCCGTCTCCTCGACAACTTAACTTGAACGGTTCATTTCATTCTCGTTTTCTTTCTTTAGTGGCCAAATCCATTCCATTTGTCAGCTTTCGATTGATTCTCGTGCGAAACGATTTTTTTTTTTTACCAATTTCTATTTCTTCTTTTACCAATGTAGATGTAAATCTTATTATAGGGATACAACGATGAGCTGCAAGCTGACGATCCAATGCCGGTAGATACGACACCCTCGTGTACCTTAAACAATTCATCATCAAAAAGTGAGGAGGAGGAAAGCGTGACGACTGACGACATCAGTAACAGAGGTGTGCCGGTAGGCAAGCCAGCTGACCTTAATATTCAACTAAGCGTCGATACCAGTTCAGATTTACAGAATGATGTCACGGAACTGGTTGTGCAGTACTTGCAGGCTTTGAGACTAGAAGATCACGTTAAGACAAAAGAAACCAGTTTCACTTTGTGGGATTTCGCTGGGCAACATCTGTACTACGCCTCGCACTCAGTATTCCTTTCTCCTCGAGCTGTTTATGCCTTAGTTTACAACCTGACTAAAGATCTCAATGCTCCAGCTGAACCTCGAGTCAAACAGGGTATTCACGATATTGTACTGGAGAAACAAAACAGTGAGACAAATTTGGAGAGTTTGCTGTCGTGGCTGGCTTCTATTCACAGTATTCGCCCAGCAGCTGACGAGCCAGGAAATAACCAGCAAGACAAAAGATCTTACCTACGCCCTCCAGTGTTCATCGTGGGTACAAACGCTGACAAACCGTTCGAAGATGTCAAGAAAATGGAAAAGTGTATTCAAAGAAATATTTCAGGGAAGGTTTATGAAAAGCACGTGATCAGGCCATTGTTTGCTGTTGATAACACACGATCGATGGGCGATGATGGTGTTCAAGCACTGCAGCGAAGGATCATGGAGGTTTTCAGACAAGAACCCTACATGGGTGAGGAGATTCCAATTAGGTATGATACTTGAAACAATCTCAGTTCGTGAAACAGCGCCTAGAATAAATCTGCAGATGCTCTCTCGCAAATGCTGTAGTCTGATTGGTTACGTTTCTCGCCATCTATTTAACAAATAGATTCCAAGTTGCCGTGGCACACGAGGCGCAGCTGAGTGTGTCACTGATGTTCTTACCATATTTTGACGTCCTCTGTGCTCTATTACTGAACAGACGCACGGCAACTTGGAATCTATTTGTTTTATATAATACAGAATTTGAAAAAAGTTTTAATGAAGTCATCTATACGTCTGTCCTCCAATAGATCATGAGTGAGAACCAATCAGAATGCGTGCATAACTGAGCTTACTATATAATACATGATAGACAGAGAGTACGATGATTAGCCTAAAAGTATAAAGGTTTCACTGAAAAAAGCTCGAAACGTGACCCTTTCCTGTTTAATTTTGAACGACCTGTAGATTTACAATAAAATAATCTGTTTGTTTGCTCTCCATATTTGTGCTTAATAGTTTTTTTGAGCTTCGCCTTCGTCAACTATCGGACGATAGAAATCTTGAGTTCATAATGCAATTGATGAATATCTATGAAAATAGGAATTATTTCAATAAAAAAAGGTTATTGATCGTATAAAAAGTTTTATCGCCGCATTGAGGTAATTGTTGATTAATGTGACTGCTCTCATATGATTGACTCACTCCTAATTCACAGAGCAAAAAAGGTGAACATCTTTCCTTGTGCATAACCTTATTTTTGCCTACGCGTAGGTGGTTCAACTTCGAAAAAATCATCGAAGCTTTGGTAGCAAAGGGAACCTATCACATGGATTTTGATCAGCTTCTCACGGTTACGAAGAAAGTTTGCGAAATAGATGATAAGGAGGAAATGATGGCCATGTTGAATTTCTATCATGACTTGGGAGTGATCGTGAAGTACGGCCGCACCGTTGTACTGCAGGCACAGTGGCTGATTGACCTTTTCAAAAGATTGATAACTGTGAAGCCTTTTGACGAAATGGTGAGCAAAGTGTTCTCATACCTTCCTCAGGCACTGGAAATCTCAAGAATGCTTTGTTTCCAAGAAGTTGTTCCTCCTTTTAACTTGCTTTTTTTTGTTGTTGTTCCCTTCTAAGTACGTGTTACCCCAATGGTCAAGATGATGAACAGGGACATTGTTGAAATCTCTCTTTTTCATCTTTTCTTGTTCTTTCTTTATTTCGGTTTTTTTATTTTTTTTTTTTGTTTTTTTTTGTTTTTCACTCATGTTTGTTTGGTTGGGGAAGTTTTAAGCGCAAGATTTCTTTTGAATTTCGAACGATGTAATTAATGGTTTTGTTCTTGCTCGGAACGTGCCTCATCTGTTATGTGGAGATAAAAAATCTGCTAATTTATAATCTATTTTATGACTTTCTTTTTCAGGATCCTCTGTACTCAGAATGCTGGAAGGAACTTGAAGAAAGCGGTATACTAAGGATGACCCTCGTTGATCACGTTTTCGCTGATGTAATACAGAATGGGCTTTCCAAGGAGGACATTTTGGATATGATGGAGCTGTATGGCTTAATCGCTAAATTTTCTTTTTTCCCAGTTGTTTCCAAAGATGAGCAGAAATACTTTGTACCAGCCCAGTTAAGGTCATCTCCAGCAGGTCTGTGTGAAATAAAGACATCTAGCGATGATCCGTGCCCTTTGTATCTTCATTTCCTTGATGGCTTTGTACCTCATGGGCTATTCCCTCAGCTTTTGGCGAGGTTCATCCGCTGGTCCTCAGAGCATGCACCTTATCAAGCTCCAAATTTGTACCACAATGGTGCGCGACTCTTCATTGGTAGGAAGAACATGTACAGTCTCGTTCTTATCTGCAGAAAACGATTCATTAAGATCGTACTAAAACAAAGGAATCCTGCTTTGAATACCCCGTTCGTGACCACTGCTCAAGAGGTTCGCGTGTTCCTTGAAGATAGTTTGCAAGGGCTGAGCCTAGAGTTGCCGTGGTTACGTAACCTTAGGTGTGAACTGTGTGTTGCATGTCCCAGTTGCTTAACTCACGGAGAAGAATGTGCTAAACATGGATCAGTCTGCTGTGCTCACGATGATTGTCTCCATCTTCTCCGAGTAATTCCAGAGGAACAGCTGTTTTGTCCAAAAAGTTTCACCGATGAAGCTCTTCAAATTGATGGACTACACAACTGGTTCCAGGTTGGTAAAACAAAGGTAGAGATGTTTTATTTGTTTGTTTTTCCTTTGGTTTTTACTTATTTGTTTGCTTTTTTCTTACTCGACCAAAGAAATGATTGAGCAATGTAGGTGCTGTATACATGAAATTTCCAATCACATCCCGTACGGGCCTGAATTTTTTTCAGGTCCTATTTACAACTACTCGTTTCAGTAGTGTTCTTAGCTGCGAGGATCTCCTAATTTCATCTCTCCACCGCAGTGCAAATATGTGAAATTTTCATATATCTAAAATCGTCATTCACTTGGATGTTTATTTGTACCCAATTCATTGACCAGCTCCTAGTTGGCTTGTTAGCTCAATTGGTAGAGTGCTGCACCGGTATCGCAGAATGGGTTCAAATCCCGTACGTGAATTTTTTTCAGGTCCTATTTACAACTACTCGTTTCAGTAGTGTTCTTAGCTGCGAGGATCTCCTAATTTCATCTCTCCACCGCAGTGCAAATATGTGAAATTTTCATATATCTAAAATCTTCTTCCAATCACATCTTTGCACATGAAGTTAATGACCTAGACACGTTGTAGAACCTGTGGTTCGCGAATGAATGTCGAAATAAATACGTTGTCATTGTATTAAAAAAAAACCTAGAGCATTGACTCCAACGATTCTCCTACTCTAAGGGAGCATCGAGTATTGCCTCGTGTCATTTAGCTATTTTTTATTTAGAATGAAGAACAGATGCAGCGGATAATGCCCTCTTTGAACTCAGAAGGTGAGAAACACCCATGCTATCTTAGTCTTTTAAGAGAGGCTCAAAAATGACAAGAAATCGTATTACAGCGCAGTTCATGTTCTCGTACTCTTAGCAGTAAAAAAGAGCGAGTTTTGATTTGTTAGAGGTTATTCTTAATCCAACTTTGACTGATTTTGTTCTTTTGATTGACGACTGATGGTTGTCAGAAGGGCAAAACACAATCCTAAATCAAGTTGTGAATACAAAGTAGCTACAAGAACAGCAATCGCTCATTCTGACATATGTTAACTCCAGAGGAGTCTAAGTAATAGCCGTTTCCTTGATGATTTAAACAGCACTCCAGCGACCCTTCCCTTCCAAAACGGGCACACCTTCAACTGATGACCTCCTCCTTCTTGCTTTCGAGTTGGGTTCATCGTGGAAGATGCTGGGTCGGACGCTCTCTCTTCCTGAAGCAGTGCTGGAGCAAATTGAGGAAGACAACCCCAAGCTGAATGAAAAATGTTGCAGAGTGCTCATAAAATGGACTGAGGTGTTTGGCCTTTCAGCTACGTACGAGTCTCTGGCAAAAGCTTTGCAGCACCCTGCAGTGGGTCGAGGTGCGCTTGCTGTCAAATACTGCGACGTCCCTGGAGATGTTTACACAGGTAAATAATATCAGTCGAACAAATCTTTCAGATAAATAATTTACCGATTTTTAAGCCTTAATCGAGAAATATGCTTCAGAAACCGCATGAGTTTCATCTCCGCCATGGTTCACAAACAACCACCACTTGGTTGTCAGCCTTTCTGTCAAAATCATTGAGAACTGAAGTCTGTCACGTCACTGGCAAGCTGTCAGATTGCTGAGCCTTATTCAAAAATGGCGGCGTCTGTAATAGACGTTTTGGCTTTGGGTGTCTCGTAGAATCGCGATCGGCAGCCCGTTACGTAATCGTATTTGTACGTTTATGCAGGGATAAAAAGAACTTAATGGTTTGTGGAGCTTACGCCGCATTTACAATAATTCCCTTTCGCTCTACTGCCTTTTGATTTATAAATTTACATTTTTTTTTAACTGAACAGGCACAGAAGCTTCACCCATCTCGTGCAAAATCGTAGATGATTTGAGGTGGAGTTGCCCAGTTTTTCTGTCTTACCAGTGGGATTTGCAAGAGACGGTGAAGGGACTAAAGAATAGAATTGAGGAGAATGGGATTCAGTGTTGGATGGACATTGGGCAGATGGGAGGAGGCGATGCTTTGTTTGCCAAGATAGATGCTGGTATTCGAGCGTGCAAGGTGAGCGGTAGGATCAGAATAGCGTTAATAAGTCCCAGCCGTGATATAAGGGAATTTCTTTACCTTGATATTTGAACGACTTACGTCCTTTTTAAACCGATCGAATATGCAATTCTTTCTTTCTTGCAAATGTTTCCTATTTTTTTTTTGTCTCAAAGTGATTCGTCTTAGGTTTTTGAGCAGTCTTCTTGCATTCGTTCATTGACAGGTCTTCGTATGCTGTGTAACGAAAAGGTATTGCCAATCTGACGCCTGTCAAAGGGAGGCTACTCTTGCTTGTAACTTGAAAAAGCCCATCATACCTCTGCTGTTCGAGAATATGTCCTGGCCGCCTGAGGGTCAACTGGCTTTGATCTTTACTACGCTTCTTTACATAAAGATGAGCGTAGAACATGGAAAGTTTCCTGATACGCAGTTTCAGGAGATGATGAGAAAAGTGGTAGAGTTCGTTCAAACTTGAAAAAGCTCATTATGCCGTCAAGAAGAATATTTCATGAATTTCGGAAGGATTAACTTTATCTAAAGTGTTTTACATTTGGTAGGTGATTGGAAGTCCCAACATCATTAATTGTGACCTATTCTCCTAATTAACACCACCTGCAATGATCCGAATTTTACAAGCACAATACTTGCAGATATTCTTAATCGTCCTAAATTAAGTGGCACCAGTGCTAAGCAGATTAATTTTCTTGTTTGTATCGTTTATTTACGCGCAGATTCTATGGAGAACTGATGCTGAATTCTCCTTATTGCGTTTCGACTAGTCTCACTATTATACACACGACAAAGGCAGCGCTTACAGTTCACCACCAAGAGAGTTCTTCTGGCAAATTGCTCAAGATTATAGTGATTACAATGAGGAAATGCCATATTTGAAAATGTGATTGGAAGGCTTAGTCGCGCCACTATGAGATTTGAGAGAAACGAAACGTCAACTTTGAAACTCTTTACGGAGGCCAAATTACACTATCAAACCAGTTGATAAAACGAAATAATCCTGTTTCACAGTTTCTTTAGAGACTTACCCCCTTAATTCTGAATCGTTTTGATTCCAAGTTTCACAACTGTAAGTCGAATATTCTCCCGGTTTAAGAAACGGTATTACTTTACTTGGCGAATTCACGGATACATTGTGCAGAATACAACTAAAAGATACAGTAATTGCACTAAACGGGAGTGATCTTCAAATTACAAGCAGCAGCATCCAGCCTCTTAAATATAAAGAGGGTTTGGGCAGTCAGAGCGTTAGTATTCGGAATGACGAAATTGAAAGATTACTATATCCTTTACTGTAGCTTTATTTTTCTTGAATTTTATTTTTGTTACTCATGTTAACTTAAGGTTTTAATAGTAATTTTAATTGTCATATACGGGTATAGATTGAGAGATATATATAACTACATCACATTAAAGTGACCAAACAAAACTTATAATTTCAAGGGTTTTACTGTGATCATGTGTTACGGTAGCAGTTATTGCACGCGAATACTACAAACGCCTGCCGTTTGGTTTTAGATTTCCAAGCCGTGTCTCGACGTGGCTATGCTAGATGCATGGCCACATTTCGGCTTGAAGGTTGCCTTCTTTTTGTGTTTTAGGGCCTGTTAGCATGCAGGAAGGGACCCCAGTTAGGTGAGGTAACCCTCCCAGGTGGGGTAACTCCCCTGTCTATATAATCTCTTAATTTATCTTGATCACGTTTATGGGATAGGTGGGATGATGTTCCTAGCGGGGTTAACCCTGTCAGACAAGGTCACAATTTGCCGTGTAAACGTTTCAAGGTGGGGTTAGCAGCCTAGCCGGGGTCTCGTCCATGTTTCATTTGCTAGTGCGCCGACAACCTCAGCACAAAATAGTGGGGTTGTAAAATTGTATGTAAACGCGGGCTTCTTTTGGACCATGGCTAGGCGGGTTGCCTCACCTACCCGGGGTCACCCACCTTCATGTAAACAGTCCCTTAGGATCATTGGTTTCCTTCGTAAACCATCATCAACTCTCATAACCACCGTTTGTTCCTGCAGCGACAGTACGTTAATAAGTTAGCGGATGTCACCAATTCGCTTGGTGACCGCTCCTGCGGCAAAGGAACCGTTCCTCCCAGCGAAGCCGCCATTTTTTCATTTGATGCCTTTACTTGCTTATCCATGTAATCCTTTGGCCATCCCTCTTCATTAAATTTCGGAGTAAGTTGTTATCTCGAAGATTTTAGTTTTTCTTGCTAATAATGATAGTCTTTCTTTTGTCGGAACTCCCTTCGGATGTCATAGAAGTGACATTCGGGGGAAGACACACCGTACCACTGCCGTGTATATCTTAAGACTATCAAATGTTAAAACCACCCAACTGAAAATATATTTTTTTTAAGTTTATAACTTTTGAGACTACCTTGACAAGCAAGCTTTATGTAAAATGGGAACCAAACCTATTCATATACATGCATCATTCCTATTCATAAAGTCTATCTTGTCCAGACCATTTACAATTATTTAGTGTAGGAGCGTTACTGCTCTCGTACCTGCCCGTAATCGTACTTTTGCCAACAGAACTATCTCAGATGACTTGGTGGATCCTTGTGTGATGTATACACCATCAGCATGGTCCCAAATTATGGTAAAATTCAGCTCTCTTTCTTGAACCCACTGAGTACAACATTGCGCTTTGAAAAGCCTAGACTTATTACAGAGTATTACTGGCGTGTAACAAAGTTTAATTCCCCGTCCATTCCTTGAGAAATGGTATATTGGCCACACACAAGACAGGCCGAACATGGAATTTCCCCGGCTCCTTGCGAATAACCAGCCAGCCTCTCACCGAGTAATGGAGCTTAGATACCAGTTGCTGATATATAAGCTAAGAATTATTTATCATGCGAGCATAATTGTTGTTTGATCATTTTTCTCTAAATCTTTAATTGGTCCTTTTTTTTCTGTTTTTTTTATTTAATTTATTTGATACCGTTCACTTGTCCAGTTTTCGTCTGATAGAAAAAAAGGTAGATTAATAGCAGATAGAACTCATCCCAATTATATCCTGTTTACGATGTACTTGAATCCGAAGACGTTTTAATTGTTCACGCTGACGGTGTGCAGCATTAAAGCATCACCTCACTGAAATATAACCATAATTTCCATGGTGGCTCGCTCGAAATTTATTTTATTATATTACTGGAGCGCCTAAGTTCACATACATCCTGTTTTCCTTTTTAAATTGCAAACAAGTGTCTACAATGAACAAACGTTTCTTTCTTTGATAAAACTCAAGTTCACACACATCCTGTTTAAACTGCAATAGGTGTCTACAATGAACAAACGTTTCTTTCTTTGATAAAGCTCCAGTTTGTAATGAAACAAATACAGGAAAAAGGAAAAACCGAGCCAATAAAGTAGAATGATAGACGTTTCAACTAGTGTAGATTGTCGCTCGCAACAAACTGATTAACAAACAGAGACAGAAATTAAGGAAAGTTTAAATACAGTGAGCCATACTGGAAACCCAAGCACCGTTCTCATTATCAATTTCTGATTCGTTACAACACTGAGCTGTGAACATTTTTCAACACGAAAATTATTAGTTTGCCTTGTTATTAGTTTGCCTTGTAGAGTTTTGTTGGTCCTTTTCTGAATAGTATCCAGTTTGATTTGACGAAGAAAATTTGTCTTAACGCAGAATTTAAATTACGAAAAGCGTTTTCCCGTGCATTTTAGAAATGAAATAAGTACTTGATTTAAGAACTGTAAACTGAAGTATTAACATCACAATGCATGGCTCATTTCCATCCGCTTGAAATGAGCAATAAAGGTCCACCTTAGCTTATTCGAACAACATATATTGTACTGTATCTTTCGTTCATTGATGTTCGGAAACTAATTTGCAGCTAAAATACTTTACGTATAAAAGCTTGCCAATCTGAAACATTACAACAACTTCACATCGATCTTCCACCTTTGCACGATTATCACTTACGGGAATGAATTGTAAATAATCGTCTATATAATTTTGCCCATGTTTGTTCCTTATCATAACGGAAAGGACAAGGATTGATTTTCTCTTTCCTATTTAAATTACTTTACAAAGTAGGACTGATTTCTATCCGCCCTAAATGAGCAAAAAAAAACCCTATTTTTAAAACTCCCATTGAAAAAAACAGCAAAGTGGAAAGGAAGAATCCAAACAGCGAAATAAAATTTAAAAAAAAGAACACCCCGAAACTTACTCGTTCTTATCAACTACTGTGGAAATTTGCCAGTAGATTCAGCTTTTTTTAAGGCATCAAACAGTCCATGGAAATGTAATTTAGATAAATGATGGATAAAATTTAAAACCTAGGCATTCAATAATGGGCGGAAATTAATCGAAGCTTCACAACTACTCACTTTGCAGAGTCGCAAATGTTTGGCAAAATATGTATGCAGGCTTGTTAATCTCAAGCAACACATGCGACAACTTCACATCGTTCGATCACAGGGAAAATCATTTCAGAAAATTAAAGGGCAAACACAAGTCTACCCGAGAGCAACCTGTCATCAAAAGCTTGCCATTTCCTTGACTACACGGCTTGGCAGCCAAGATACCTTACGAACAGAACCTACGTAAATCTAGTCGCTGTCATTTGTGTCAACTCAATCTCAGCCATTATAGCTGTTCCTTTAAATTCAATGATTATCATAGCTGTAGCGACCAAGAAGGAGCTGAGAACTCTCCACAACATTCTCTTGGCGTGTTTGGCGGGCTCGCACAACCCTTGTTCATAACGTCAGAAATTAAACACATTCTTGATCTCGGACCTTTCTGCACTTTTGACATAGTAATAGGGATTGCTGGTGGTACTAAGCATCGAAGGCTACATTTTCATCAAGTTTCCCTTAAGATACGAAGAAATCGTCACTGAAGAGAAAACAGCTGCTGGTGTGTTGACGGCCTGGCCTGTTGCAGCAGTCGTAGCAAGTTTAATGGCCGCCCACGCATCTATGATCACCGAACTCTCCGCAAAACTATTGACAGCTAGCTACTGATATATTACTAGCTTTTGTCGTCCTTATTTACACTGGTATCATTCTATACTGCTATATAAGCATCTACTCAGAAGTCCGAAACCAAAGGCGCCGCCTAAGATCTGAGCCATTACCCGAAAAACAAGCCATCAACTGAGGAAAAACAAAAAGGCAGCGAACACCCTGGCAATCATTATAATGGTTCTTCTCTTCTCCTACCTACCCGTAACCATTCTTTTGGTAGGAGCACCTTTTTCCGATACCCTGTTGGAGCCTCATGTGTTGCACACAGTCTCATCGTGGTCTTACACGTCTGGTTTGATGAGTTCCCTCCTTCACCCACTCTTTTACTGCTGGCGTTCTAAAAGCTTCGCCGCGCATTTCGCGAGATTCTGCACATAAGATGCACATAAATCAGCCCAGATATGGAATTACAATCCAACCAGAGTGATCAGTCGACCCCTGCAAATGAGGCTCGGAAAGTAGTCACTAGTGGCGAAGAACTTTTTATTAAACGAAAAGAACTTTATCGAAGATGATAACTTCAAGAGATGACTAAATTATGCTTAGCTTGAAACTAATCTATAAGCTTATCAACATTCATTATGAACGTGAGTTTTTGTTTGTCTTAGAGCCTCAAGGAAATCCAACACTGTTCGCTGCTAGTAACGATTTCCATTTCATTTTCAGCAACTACCCAAGGAGTAGGTTTTTCATTTCCTCTTTTACTTCTGATTAAGGGAACAGCGGTAAAAAATGCAGTATATGCGCTTCTAGAAAAAAGTAATCATGATTGCGAAGAGGAAAAGGATTTGAAAACTTAGACAGATCCTGAATGCAGAATGGTTTTTATTTTAGGGTACGAGTGAGAGGTTCAAGATGGAGGAGAAAAAGGAGTGGGAGGTGATAAAGTAGTGCCATAGGAACACGATAGCTCGTGTTCGACATTTTAGGTGTTTAAATGAGATACAACGGGCTGTACCATAACTATCATTATCATCATCATCATCATCATCATCATCATCATAATTATTATCATTACTGTAATTATAATCATAATTATTATTATTAAAAATGTTGTTAATATCATCATCTCTGTTATTATTATTTTCATTCTTGTTATTGATTTATCATCACTATCGTCTTAGTCACTTTGAATCACAGCTGCTTCTTCCCAGGAGATAGTATTAACCAGCTTGGGCAATCATAGAAATAAATCTCCTATAAGTGATCAACTGATACCGGATGCAATATCTACCATTTTTAATTGGTGCTATATTTCCCAGCGAAATAATCTTATGCAAACAGAAGCAGCCCACACAATTTTGCGGCATAAAATCTGTATAAATCTAAACAGTCCTGCTGGTAGCATGGGCTACTCTGTAATAAAGGTCCACACGATTATGTAGGT